CTATTGGAAATGATATATAGTGTTCAACTCACTTTGATTTTTTTCTTAAATAAGAATACTATAATAAATGAGATATATTTAATTTGTAGGTACGTGAAATGACGAAAATGAAGATTAAAAATTACGTTTGAAATCAAATAGTTGAATTTTCAAAACAGTTTATTATTTAGTTTTTAGTAAAGATAGAGGAGTATGTAAAATCAAATTTGACAATTTTATATATCAGGAAAATGCGTGAACTGGCAGCTCGATTGAGTAACTTGGAAGAGTTTCGAAGTATTACTATCGCTTGATTTTTCAAAGAGTCATAGTATATATTCATAAAGCTCGATTGACCTTGAGTTGAGACCTATTTATTATTCCTTACGACAGAATCATTAGTTAAATTTCACTACAAGTGTTTTCTAGAAGAATAAATCTAATATAATATATAGCAAAATCATTTATAAATGGTGAATGAAATCAAGCCACCACATATCACAAAGTGTTAGTGAATTCCGTATACTTTGATTCTGATGGATAATCATGATCTGAAAATCACAAAAAGTGCTGTGTATATTTAAGCTGATGATATTTTGAAATGATCAGTTAGATTAATCAGATATATGCTCAAACTGATTGGGTTCTTTTCTTTTTGAATGGCAAAAAAGTGGGCATTACAAGTTAAAGCTATGAATTCTAACCACTGCCTTATCATATTTCCCGATATTTTTAAATATATTTTATTGCAAATGACGATTTTTAATGGATCTAATCTAACTATGTATCCGCACACAATCACGAAACTACGGAAAATGGTGATGAACAATTTACGCATAGCCAGCTATACAACATACAAAACTATATAGCGGACAATTAAACCTACATATACCATGGTTATACAGTAATGGAATTTACATTTAGTTCTTTTTGTCAATAATTTTTTGTTCTTGTTTTGAGAACTGAAGATCTATTTGAGACTAGTTACAACGAATAGATATGAAAAGAAGTTACAAAACAAGTATTACAGAGACACTGAGACACACATAGGTTGGTAAATGAAAATGATAGAATGATACACAGAAAATGAAGATCACGCTTATAAGATATCAAAACAAGATTTTTACTTCTTTCGAATTACTAAACAGTGACTTGACATCATCATATTGATTAGGTCGAATATATTATAAACTAATTTTATACTTTGTTAAACATAATGAGGGAACCATTTTTTGTTTGGTTTGGTTCGCTTCTCCTTATCAAAGTTCTTCACGCCATAGTCGTGTAAAATCTAAATATGTTTAGAAAGTTGTTATGATCATCAAGAAAATGCTTAGAATATATAGGTGAAGAAAAGTTACATAAAATCTAAAGATAAACATTATAATATTATAACGGGTACCAATTTTATTAAAATGTGTTCGTACTTCGTAGGGGTCGTCCTTATTTACTAGAAAGAGAAAATTAGATTCACCATAAGGAAAGTAAGATACCATGATTGATAATCAAGCAACCCCTCGAAAGTTTTCTTTTGGAATTTTGTTAAACAATTCACTTTTTTTTTCCATTTTTTTGTAGGTACAGTGTGTCACGGTGGATAGATACCATTTTTTTTTGGTACACCATTTTTTCTTTACCGTTAATTCGTCATACCACATTTAAGTAAGACTGAATATTGTCACAGACATAAACTCCTAAAAATGTTAGTGGAAGCCAATAGACGACAGATTTTGGTATGCTACATGTTTATTTTCTATCTTAATTAGATTATAAATGTATTTCAAGTTAATCATAGAATTTTTACAGTTTTTCAGATTGAATCTATATAAATATATTGGTGCATTCTATGTTTATAGAAGTACACAAACTCAGAGTTGGGAACTGTATGATTTAATGAAAAAAATCATTTTAGAATAATATATGTTTATGAAATACTAACGCAATTGTTGACAAAAAGCTTTTTATTAAAGCTATTTTTTTTTACATAATTTACTAAAGCTATATTTTACAATATATATGATTCTCTGTGATTTACATAACTACTTAATTTTTCAATTTAGCTTGCAAATTTCCTGCTTCTTTTTAGGTTTTTATCAGGGAATGATTGATATGGGAGCAACTTTTAGTTCAAAAATCATTAAGTAAATAATACTTTATGGTTCTCTTCATCTCTTGTAAAGATTCACACCTATCGTTCTAGTCAAAAACAAAAGTAAAAAGCTTCCATTTTTCAATAGTTATGCAAAAGAGAACACTAAATTGTACATTTGTTTCCTTATTACAAATTATAGCCTCCTGTTTAAATAGGTTCTAGCTGAATTTATAATGGCAATGAATAATCAAATTGTTATGAGACCAAAATTCAGTTTCTTTCCCTTGTGATATGATGGGCTTTTCTGCCTCCGAGGTTCACGTGACTTCCACATGAGATGTATGAGTGGGGGTTTCGGATATGTTCAACTCGATCATCTACTAAAATGTTGAAAAAAAAAAAAAGATCATTTACTAAATTGGAGACCAAGACAAAAGAGCATATCCCTAGTATTTAGGGGGAGAGAGAGTCTTAAGTCTCTCACTATTTCTAAACAGTAAAACCCTAATGATTTTCTAAGACCCTTTTTGCTCGAAGTTTAATTCTTTATATATTTTAGCCAAAAAAGTTTCAATGTTTTTTTTTTTCCTTTTTGTAAATTTCTAAGAAATGTTTTTTTTTCTTAAAAGCTCAAATAAAGTACTGCAAATCGGAATATATATGGACTGCATATCTCATATCTACGCGAAGAATTGGAATAAGCATTTTTCTTCCCTATTGAAACGTTTTCACATTATACACAACACATATATAATTAGAAAGAAGACCGAATATAAATCCTAGTAATGTTATGATTTGTAGAAGTTGTACTTACGGGCCAAGTAGTCATTAAAATTCTATCGTTAATACTTGATTATATGTAGAATATATCTATATTGCTAAAGTGATAATGTAGTGTTGTTACGTCAAATATTCTAATTTAAAATAGAAAACAACATGTGTGTACGATATAAACTGATCGTCTTTTTTTTAAAGCAATGAGATGCCTTAAACAAAACTTTTAGTTATTATAATAATACTATACCATCGATAACATTCTTGATCAAACAATGTATTTATCATCCACAACCAAAAGTATTATAAGAATTTGTACTTGATATAGACACGATACAAATTGTAGAAAGCGAGAAGAGAATATAAATGTTCTCATTTATTTGGTGGAGGACCAAATGTGGACCAAAAAACAACTTAGCCAATCCCATCTCAAGGCAAGTGAAAAGATCTGCATATGGTCCTGTAAAAAAAAAACTGTATATGGACATGCAATTATAGTTTTTCATTTAATCCTTCAAATTTTTGTTTATAGTTTTTTATTTATTATGAAAATTACTTGGACCGATTTTTCAATCAATTGCTTTAATACTATATATATTTCATTGATAAAGTCAGGAATGCATTAAACTTGATAATTACATGGAGCCCATAGTTATTTTTTGTGTGTAACATCTTTTATATTAATTAAACCGTAAATGGATGATACAAATAGTTCCGAAGCCATATAAGCGGACAATGGAAAACATTAAAAGATGAAAAACTTTCATTTGCTAATACATCCGCTGCTTGATTACGCTTTCTATTGACATGATCTCTATTGAGCAATGCGGAAGCTTCATAGTTATTTCGAATTTTAATTGATATGGTTAATTAGAACGTAACATGCATCAGACTTTACATTTTATTTTACAGAACTGTGTTCAAATGTCATCTCATTTTCATTTCCACCATTTATATTTCTCTCCACACTAGTGAATATGTATATATTGCCTAATCCACATATCTTTTTTTGTTGTTGTTTAAATATTGCCTATGCACTATCTATTTCAATAATTCTAAAGTAAATTTTACATGATTCGTCAATTACATAGGAAATCAAATTAAAGTGTGATATAAACTTAATACATCACTCTTAGTTGGTCATTTTCAACATGTATAATGATCATTATAGGTATATATATATATATATATATATAAATATTTGATGATATGCTAGTGTATAGATCAACATTCTTTTTTAAGTGGTTGATAAGAGAGACTATAAAACTTCAATCTCCGAGTCATTATTCCATTAGAGTTTTCTAAAGATTAGTTGCTCTCTCATGTCTTAATCGTTTAGGGTTCAAATACAAGCCACCATTTTGTCACATCATTGACAAATATGCAGTATCCATCGTTTTTTTTTTTTTTTTTTTTTTTCATTTTTAACATCTGCTTCATCACTGATCAACTTGAACTTACAAAGTTATTGTATGCATTACATAGAGCACAATACACAGTGAAATTGAAAATAAACTTACAAGATGTTTTCTTTCAATAAATTTTACTTGTTAACAGGTATTTTCTTTTCTTTTTATTCAAGAAGAAAATCTCGTAGTTTTTTTTTCCGGTATTGATCAATCTCTAATGTTCGATGTCTTGTGAAAAATAAAGTCTTAAATATCCATCTTTTATCTAGTTATCAAGTTATTAACCAAAACCAATGGCCAGATGAATGCTGCAATGCATACAAATTAGTACAGTATACAATGAAATCAATTTCTATAACTACTCAAATCATTAATTAAAAAAAATAATTACTCAAATCATCAGTTTTATAACAATATTTTGAGATATATATTCAGTTTACTCAAATATTCCAATTTCATGTTTATGTCTTGTAGTTTACGAATACATAATTCTTGATTTAATTTGATATATTACTCTTGCAGCTTCACCCTTGTTTGCTAAATACAAATAATTTGAAAACTATTGGATATTAAAAGCCTCTTAGAGTGGGTTGGCTATATCAAAGCCCATCAAGAAGCCATTAATATTTACCTCGAATCGAGTTGGGCTAAGCGGTGTCGTTTTATAGAAAATGACGAAATTAACCTTTGACCGATCACAAAAAAGTCTTAATCATATAAAAATGGAGGAAGGAGAAGACGCGTCGGCTGAGAGGTAAGAGGAAGAAGAGAGACTCAAAGGAAAAAAGGGAGAGGCGGGAGGATTTTTTTTCAACTCAGTTCTTCTCTCTTCTCCGGCGGTCTTTCGTCGTCTCTTCCTCTTCACTCCGGGAAGATGGATATGGTAGAGACTTCCTCCGTCGCCGCCGTCAAATTGCAGTCAGCGGAAGACGCGATTGACTCAACCGCGGATATTACCCAACCTCCAAAATCGCAGCCGCCGTCACGTGAAGTCGATTCGTTACCAGTTTCTGGATCTTTCGAAGATGTCGTTGGCTCGGATTTACCGTGTTTACCTCCGTCGGATGATGATTTTGACCACGGTAGAAATAGCGGCGAGGATCTTGACCACGATCACGGCGATAATCCGGTCGAGACTGACGTTGTTGTTAACAACGATGAGTTGAAAAAGAAGATCATTAGACAGGCAAGGGGTTTAGCTTTTTTTTTTTTTTTTGCTTGTTTGATTAAAAGATGAACAAGAAGATTTTGAAATCTTGAATTTCTATTGCGTTTTCACGTTTCCAAATAAATTGGCCGAATTGATCGAGAAATTATGGAATTAGTCAAGTTCGTATTCGTCTTGCTGTGTTTAATTTTTCAGGTTTTTTGTTTTCTGTTCTGTCGAATTACTTTGCCGAAAGGTTATTTCTGAATCTAGTCTCTGTTCTTCCTTCTATTTGTTGCAGGTTGAATACTACTTCAGTGACGAGAATTTGCCTACTGACAAATTTCTTCTCAATGCTATGAAGAAAAACAAAAAAGGCTTTGGTGAGTATATTTCTTTGACTCTGAAACAGGCAGATAGACCCCTAGATTTTTATGTTCCTTGCTACTATCTGAGACCAACTTTGAGGAATCGCTCATGTAGTTATGAAATTTCTGATACATGTAGTCGAATAAAAATATCTCTTGATTAGATGTTGCAATTTGTGAACTGTAGTTTTGTGTATGATCGATTGCTTTTGCCGAAAGTTTTTTCTTTCACCTAATTGATGAAATAAAGTCGTTTTGTTTCAATTTTACTTCAAAGGTACTTATCATACTGTTGAAGAACAATGTCAATGTCTTTCTTTTCGATGTGCAGTTCCTATATCTACTATTGCTACGTTCCATAAAATGAAGAAGCTTACTCGAGACCACGCTTTGATAGTATCAGCTTTAAAGGAGTCGTCATTTCTTGTAAGCTTTTTCATAATTGTTACAAACTTACAAGTAATATGAATTGAAACTGCCATGAAAAAGTAAAGTGGAGTACCAGATAAAGCTAATACAGAGGTTGTATATCTGTTTTGTCAACCTGCAGGTTGTTAGCTCGGATGGGAAGAAGGTGAAGCGTCTGAGTCCTCTTCCTGAGGTCAGGGATCCAAAGGTATTAATTGCCTCAAACATGATTCTTCTTTCTCTGTCTGACTGATATGTTGTGCCTTTACTTCCTTTGAGATATATTCGTCCTAACTAGTATACCACAGATTTTCACTGTGTTGGTAGAAAATTTGCCAGAGGATCATTCAGATGAGAATATTCGGGAGATATTTGGTAAAGCTGGAAGGTAGGCCATGTCTTTTCATATGTCATATCATTGCTACATCTTGGCTGCATCAATTACACATATTACTTATTAACATTTCTCCCTAATTGCAGCATAAAAAGTGTATCCATATGTGATCCGAACGCTGTTGAAGAATCAGATAAGGGTTGTAAGAAGGACACATTTATCAGAACCAGAGTAAGGAATTTTGTGGAGAATATTTTTGTATGGAATCACAGTCACGTATATGTATATTTATGTGTAAGTAAGTAACTGACTTTTTCTTTTTGTGGCTATAGTTACATGCCTTTGTGGAATATGAAACAGTGGAGGCAGCTGAGAAAGCGGTGAGTGTCAAATAAAACTTACAGGATCAGTATTGTGCATTAATTTGGTTTCGTCTCACCTAAAGAATGGGTGTCTATATCTACCTCTTTAATTGGTGCAGGCAGCTACATTAAATAATGAGCAAGACTGGAGAAATGGGTTGCGAGTTAAGCTTCTTGAACAAGCAGTAAGTAATCCCTGAAGGATCTTTTAACTTAAAAACATGTATATAGAGTCAAAATATAGCTTTATAAATCGATTACGTATTCACCATAGGGAAAGTTTGCTCAGAGAAGACCAGCTAGGAGGGAAGTCGATACAGAGAAGGACAGTACAGGCCGAGTGCATGACAAAACTGGAGGTGAGGAGAACAAAAAGTCAAATGAACATCAGCATCATCGTCACCATCATTCTGATACTCCGGCTGATGATGTAAGTTCGATCTTATTTCTAATATTACTTGATATAATGGCCCATCTTTGATGGCGTTGTTAAAGAATTTGATTGAAGGTTTTGGAATCAAACATTACGGTCTGTGATATTTTAGTAGTTGGATTTACTTGCATATTTATGATAAAACAGGATACGAAACAGCTGTTTCTTAATCGCAGATTTTTCCTCTTAAACCATTTTCAGGAAGGGGGGCACAAAAATGGGAACAAAAGCAGAGGTCGGGGACGGGTAAGGCGACCGAATCATGTAGGCAGCAATGGTATGAGTACATTTTTGTAGAGTAAAAAACGTTTCTTCTATACTTCTTGCAACAATGGAAAGTGGTGACCTATTCATTTCTTTTTTTGTTATGTGGCCACAGCCACAGGACATGGAACCTCACCATCAAGCTCATCGTCTTTCCATCAAAATTATAATCATCATCCTGTTGAGGTTTCAAAGCGTCCGCCTGGCCCGAGAATGCCTGATGGGACGAGAGGTTTTACAATGGGGCGTGGTAAACCGCTTCCTCCTCCTCCCACATCTTCACACGAAGTTTGATAACATGTTTTCTCATCTCTGTTTGTATAATTGTGTGGTTTCGTTTCGCCTTTTTTTAAGAAAAAGAAATTGAAACATGTATGTAGTTATGGGAAGTGAGATGTTGTGTGGGATTTGGGTTTCCTTTTGGCTTCTACGAGTCCTCTGAATGCTCACTTGGAGTTAGCTTTGGTGTTGTTGTTAATGCTAAATTTCGTTTAATGGAAAAGTGAATTCATTTGATGACTTCATGTTGTCTCTTATTTTTGTTTTGCTGTTTTCCTCTATCTTTCTTTTATTTGGTTCTCGTTAATTACTCAACGTATCACTTAAAAAAGTGGTTAACCGTCATTTTTGCTCGATTAAGAGTATGTTTATGTTAACTTTAACAACGGAGAATTTGGCTAATGGCGCATGCATTACATTCCAAGAAAGAGTATAACACCAAAGCTCAAACCGGCCTTAAAGTGGTTCAACCACATCGCCTTCTTCTTGCCAACGTTGTCTGGAGACAGAGCCGTTGTAAGAGAATCATTGGTGAAAACAGCAACATTGATAAAGCAAAGTACTTTTGATTGTTGGACCGTACTGTTGTTATCTTTAAACACCACAACTTTTGGAATCAAATGCGGTTCTTACTTCGCTAATAGATGCAAACAAATAACTTAAAAAGTATGATTTTACAAAAAAGATACTTTGGTCTCCAAGAGTTGTTCTTCTCCCACTACACTACTTTGAGTTCTAATATGAGGAAATTACTTCTTTAGGTGCATTTCTCTCATGATGATTAATCAAATGATATGAACTTTTCCATCGCTGATCATCACTTTGTTATCATCTTGCAGTTTCTGCACAAATCCACAATAACGTAAGTAATGAAGAAACTCCATGACCAAATTGAGAAGCTGTTTCTTATTTTGTGATGTACCTCTAATAGCGCCATAATCTCATCTGCAGAGTACCGAGAAGCTCCAACGCCATTGTTGTTGACTACAGTCTCTATCTCTGCAATAGAAATGTCGTCGAGCCTGTTTGTCCTCATGTGCTGTCCAAACACTCGCTCAAACGCTTCAATCCTTGCTGCAGAGACCGTGCCACTAAATTGCTCTACAGGAGGTTCATCTACTTCCATTGGACCTGCTGTTTCACTGAATGAACCAGCAAAGAGAAAAAGAACAATGTATTAGAATTAAGATAGCTGCGATGTGGGTTTACATGAAAATAAAGGTCAAATTAGCTACCTTTCGACATGTGCAGAGACGTTCTCTTGTCCATTATCATTACCCCTGCGTTGTTTGCCTCTGTGACCATTTGGTGTTCGTGCTTGTTCTGATTGTTCCCTTTGACGTTCTTCTTGGTCGCGTTCATCCATCTCTGTCAGTTCTTGATGGTATATTGCAAAGTTCATAAGCTTCAAGGCAGCCTCTGCGTCGGCTTTAGTAACCTTTCAAAATAAATATATCATTTTAAGAGTGAATCTCAGTAGAACTTATTCACGACTACGAGGACAAGGCAGAAGATTTAGGTTTGTTTGTTACCTGTCTGCTCAACTTCATTTTGGCATGTGCCGTGGCAAGACGAATTATTGTTTCTAGCGTTCTGGCTGTTATAGGAAGCGTACCTCCAGTCTGCAGAAATGGAGGTGGTCGTGTCAAATACAAGTTCCTAAGACGAAAACACAACACTCAGTATCCAAGGTTACGTTGTGAGGAATAGTTACCTTCGTATCAGAACCTGCATTTCTGAGATCTGCATATGCTTCTGCAATACGTTCGGATGCCTGAAATTTTTCGATAACGAAAGAGAGATTTTAGTGGAAAATCTTTATCAGATATCAAACACGTAAATCTGCATTTAAGTTCAGTGTCGCACTTCATCAGTGAGCTCTGGCTGAATTCGATGCTTAGCATAGTGAATGTACTTCTTCAAGAACTTAATCGTAAGAGTGTTCTCATTTGTTTGGCTTCTTCTCTTCTTCTTCCCATGCAGCATTCGGTTATACTTAACAAACACTTCACTTTCACCATCTTCCTCTCTTGCGTACGGCAAGCTCCCATCTGGCCCTGCCTCACCTATAATTCACTCAAAAGCCAGATATGTTTCAAGTCAATGATTGTCAAAATGTTTAGTACACCGGAGAAATATGATTTGCAGCCTACCTCTATCGTTTTTGTAACGATGCATGCGCAGGACGTGTTCCGATATCAGGCTGTCAATACCAGCATCCATTTGATCCAAAACAATAAACAGCAGATCAAAACGAGAAAGCAACGAGTCTGGAAGTCCAATGTTCTTTGTTGGAGTCAGTGATCTGTCATACTAAAGGCACAAGAGTAGGATATTAGAATAAGGGATACTTACTAGTCTATAGAGTTAACAGATCAGGATGAGTTCTATGCAAACTTACCGTTCCATATATGGGATTTGCTGCTGCAACGACACTGCATCTAGCATTTAGTGATGCATGAATACCGGCTTTCGCGATTGTTACAGTCTGTTGCTCCATCACTTCGTGTATAGCAACTCGGTCCTGATCGTTCATCTTATCAAACTCGTCAATGCACACGACACCTCTATCAGCGAGGACCATTGCACCAGCTTCTAGTCTTCGTTCCCCTGATAAAAAAAGAGAGTTGATTTTCATGAAACAGCACTTTCACGTTTTTCTAATTTTGATTTGAAGTCTATGGAAATTTTTTTGCAAAAGGCTTATATGTGATTATACCTGTTTCTTGGTCAGACGTCACAGCAGCAGTTAACCCAACACCGGAAGAACCACGGCCTGTAGTTGATATAGCCAATGGTGCAATATTCATTATTGCTCTCAGAAGTTGAGATTTGGCAACAGATGGATCACCAACCATCATCATGTTGATGTCCCTAAAAGCGAAAGTTTGTAAATTTAGCAAAAGTCATACCAGTGAACTGAAGCTGGAATTTTATTTCTAAGTATGGCCTTACCCTCTTAAGTGGGTTCCGTTCTTGAGGTTCTTTTCCATACCGCCGAGCATCAGTAGTATTACTGCTTTCTTTATCCAAGCGTGCCCATAAATAGAAGGTGCCAAGGAACTAGCAAGGAGATCAAATGCATCATCTCTTGCTGCAATCTTCTTAATCTCCTGCAGGTCTTGCGGGGTGTATATAGGTGCATTTGCTTCTTTGTTGAGCAGAGTGATGTTATTGGCTATGAGGATAGTCCTACACAGATAGAGCTCAGTCAAGATTATCGCAGTGAAAAGAACATCTTGAGCTTCAGAGGTAGTAGGAATACGCACCTAAAGACTCCATTTACGCTACCCTTGCTTTTGCCTGGAAGAGCTTTGTAAATGCCGATAATAGCCACTCGGTCTCCTGGCTTGCATGAGTCAACCAAGTCGTCCTCAGCTATGACATCCACGCTTCGTGGAAGCTGACCAGGAGCAGCATTTTCAGGCACTTCTTGAATTGACAAGGTCTGGTGATCTTTGTATTTGCACAGCCCATACTCAGTCACCAATAAGTTGCCGTTATCATCCTAAATATAAAAAAACTCAGTAACAGGTAAATCTTCAAGCAATAAAGGTAGATGAACAAAACATAGAAAAGACATGTGATACCCTTGTGGGATAGACAGACCCAGTGGGCAAACCCGCGTGGGACGTAATGTCTCGATAATCTCGATTGGTAAATTCACCGGTAGATGGGCAAAAATGTACGCTTTTAACAACCTTTGGCCTCACAAGAGAGCCTGAAAAGCAAAACATGCGTCAGAGATTTCAACTCTCTCTCTCTCATCGATTTCACTAAGCAGATGTGTAGAAGGAAAAGGCTTACATTTGGTGACAATGCCCTCAACACAGACCAAAGATCCAATAAACTCAGAGAGAAGGTCTCTAGGTGTGACACGTCGAGAGACAAAATGACCTTCAAACCCAACAAGGACTTGCTCTCCTTCCTTCAAGTATTTTGGGTCGATATTGCGGGTAGCTTCAGTGGCTGCGTCACAAAACGACTGCATATACTCAATTGGATTCTTCAGTATCCTACGCAAACGAAAGCAACAAACTTGAGTCAGGAAACACATAGCACCAAAAAAAAAATCTATTCACTGAGCCATACTATAAAATCTCAAACAGCTCGCTTTTCGAATTACCATCCATTCTTCATATTAGACTTCTCCTATCCCATATTTCTTATTAATTAAAGCAAAACGGGAAAATCCAATGAAATCCCCAAATTCACACCACTGAAATAGCATAAAAAAAACCCTAAAAACTCCAAAAATTGACAAACCCAACGAAATCTACTATCCCTTCTACTAAGAGACGAAATAAGATTATGGAACCGAGTAGAAATTAGAGAATTAAAGCGAAAAAAAAATTCAGAAGCTGAGTGACAAACCTAGAGGCAGTTCCGGGGAAGGAGGTATGGATATCAGCGACATTAACAATGAGACGGCGACGCTTCTGCTGTACCAGCGCCTTGATTTCATCCATGTAGATCTATCAAAACCAAAATCCCAGTTATACCAACAGAAGCTCGATATGTCTCGTGTGTGTGAGAGAGAGAGAGAGTAATAGGACTTACGTTTTCCAGGAACTGGAAAAAATCTCGCTTGTGGCGAAGCCTCGTCTCTTCCGGCACATCCATTTTTTTCTTCCTACGAAATCTCGTCCGTCGTCTTCTTCTTCCTTCAAGTCGGAGTAGCGATTGACAAACAAAATGTAATTTCGATTTCGAGAGGCATAAAGGGTATTGTTATTGGCGGGATATTGTGGGATGATCTGTTCCCTTTTTGGCGGGAAGAGAGAGAGTTATGTTGGGCCGATACATATTGGGCCTTTTTATTACACTACTTCACGAGTTTTCTGGCGGTGGCGTCTACGCGCTAGTTTTTACTATAATTTGGCAGCCCATTAAAAGAGTTTATGATAAATAGTCATAAATACCGAGAAATATTGTAAATGAAAAATCCCCTAATTGGATTTTATTCTGACACTAACACCGTTACTACAAAGATTCTTAGTTCAGTTTATAAATTAGGCAAATATGGAACGAACTAAGATACAAACATTCCTTACAAGAGGGAAGAAGCAAAATCTGAAATCTCAACAGCTCAATAACAATAAGAAACAAAAAGCTGAATGAAACGTAAATGGCCAGAGAAAGAGCTCCAACTTGTGAACCAAGAAGCTGCAAGGACGATGATTGGTGATGGATGATCGATGATGATGATGTAACAGATGGGGCAGAGAATCTAATGGGTCTGAAAAATCAGGGTTTGAAGGCAGAGAAAGCCACCACTGAGTTATGTCCACCGAACCCAAACGAGTTTGAAATGGCTGCAGCAAAAAAAAAATAGACATTATTATCAGAGAAACAGTCGTCGGTTTAACCCAATGACAAGAAGGCGAGTCGTCACTTACCAACGTTAACCTCGTGCTGCTTCTTCTCATTAGCGACGGTGTCAAAGTCCACGGCTGGTTCTGGGTTCTACAATAAGAAACACAAAGTGTAAAGAGTCTAAGAGAAAGCACAAGTCCAAATCTTGCAACATTTATCTCGACTTTGTGAATGATTTTGTTTTAGGAAAAGAGAGATTATGCTTACAAATTGGTTGATTGAAGGATGAAGCCATCCAGTGTTGATAGCCTTCACGGTGGCGATGGCCTCAAGACCTCCAGCTGCACCGAGGCAGTGACCAATCATAGACTGTAACATGCATTCACAAGATTGTCATCATAGGAAATGCAAAGCAAATTCAAGAAACAGAGGAGGACAAAATAGCGGAGTGTTGGGGACGAACCTTGGTTGCATTGATTTTGATCCCTGAAGTGCTCTTGAATACCTTTTTAATGGCATTAATCTCAGCAAGATCACCGGCAAGAGTGGAAGTTGCATGCGCATTGATGTAATTTACCTGAAAAAAAGTTCAGACAATCACAAGCTATGGATATAGGTAGGAAATATGACAGGTAACGAAATGGAAACCCTTTGTCACAAACAGCCACAAAACATTAGAAACATGAAAAGTTTGTGTTTTTACCTCCTCGGGTGATACACCGGCATCTTGAAGGCAGCTCTCAATGCATGTAGACACACCAAGCCCATCAGCTCTTGGATCAGTCATATGATGAGCATCACAGTTAACAGCACCTCCAAGATATTCTGCTACAATTGGAGCACCACGTTTCATCGCATGTTCCAAGCTTTCCATCACCTATTAGGGCTAGAATTAAATTAACACAATCGTTGAACTTGCGGAAACAACGTGTCACATGTATGACCCAATCTCATGAACCAACTTCGTACAATTCAAGAGCAAGGACACTTCCCGAGCTAGTCAACTATGGGAACACAAGTTTCTACAAAAGGAGTAAGAGTCCTCGGCTAAAGACAGCAGTGTATCAAACCCATCAGTTTAATAAGACCAAAACAGTAAGAGTTTATGAAACATACCAGAACACCAGCTCCTTCACCCATGACAAAGCCATCTCTCTGTTTATCCCATGGCCTTGAAGCGGTTTGAGGGTCATCATTTCTCTGTGACAAAGCCCTGCAAGCAACAAAACCTCCCAACCCAATGGGAATAATGGCAGCCTCGGTTCCACCAGCAATCATCATATCAGCTTCACCACGACGAATGTGGTTCGCAGCAGCGTAAAAGCAGTAGTTGGAGGTTGCACAAGCGGTTGAGATCGAGTAGTTTGGACCCATAAGACCAAGATCAATCGCCAATAAAGCAGAACCCATGTTTGTAATGGCATAAGGAATAAAAAATGGAGATATTCTCCTGTGGCCTTTCTCAATCAGAGCTTGAACACCGTCTGAAAATACAGTCAAACCACCCATACCAGTCCCAACTAGTACTCCAGCTTTCTGCTTATCAATCTACAAGATAACCCAAACCAGTAATGTAAACAACAAAGAAGAGTAACGTAATCAACTCATGAGAAACTTAATTAATCCCTTCAAATAGGTTTCAAGCTTCTGTTTAAAGACAGTTGGACAAAAAAATTGAAATTTAAGCTATATATGTGCTTAATCGATCGAAATTCATCAATTTTCAGTCCAAAACCAAGATTGATTTATTGGTACAAGGAGAAAGCAGAAATCTTAAACTGAATTAACTTCAAATCAATCGAAATTGATCAATCTAAGGTAGTGAGAATGAGAATGTACCGTGTTAAGCTTATCGCCACCAAGATTGGCACTCTCAAGAGCCTTCTTCCCAGCGACAATGCAGTACTTCAAGCAATCGTCAAGCCTACGCTCATTCTTCCCATCGATGTAACCTTCGGAGCTAAACCCACGGATCTGGCCACCGAATCGAGTCGGGAACTTGGAGGCGTCGAATCGATCAATCAAGCTGATTCCACTCTCACCGGAAAGCAATTTCTCGTAGTAAGCATCGACATCGTTCCCAAACACAGAAACGAGACCCATACCGGTAATCACAACACGTTTCTTCGGATCCGTCTCGCGTTTGGGAGCGGAAACAGCGGCTGATGCGGAAATGAACGAGCGTCTCCTCGTGGGTCTCGCATTGGTAATCTGATGCGACTGTCGATTCGAAGGCCTTAGAAGTGGATTCGGAGGAGAAGCACGAAGAGACGAAGATTGAAGAGCTTGCATGGCGGATCCAAAGAGATAGAGAGCGAGAGCGAAAGCGAAAGCGAAGGAGAGGCGATAAGTACGATGTTGTGAAAATGGTGTGTGTGAATGTGTGCGTTTGCGAAAAGAGCCTGAGTTCGTCAGATTTCACGAGCTCTCTCTCTCTCTGTCGATTATAAAAACGCCGAAAAATTCAGAGGAGAGTAACTTTTTTTTTTTTAATTCAAGTCCCTTAATATTTACAACTGTTTTGGTTTTAGCCTTTTAGTTATATTATCTTACAATTTGGTCTTCAGGAGGTGTTATAATCTTCTGAATTAAATGGGATATGACTGATTATCATTTATGGTCTGTCTTTTCTTGCGAATACACTTGTTCATCTTTCAAAATCAAATCTTTTAGGTATAGGAACTGTTGGGGATATGATTTTAGAAGTCCTATCTAATTAGTAATACTGGAAACGATGTTTGAAAGAATATAGACTACAATGATAATAATACACCAACTAAACTTTTAATGTTAAGACACTTTTTTCATATTTAGAATATAATACATCATTATAATTTAACGATTCTTTACCGCGCATCTATTTTACAAAAACAAAAACAAACAAAAAAAACAAAAATTGCAATGTAAAATTTTTAATGCATTAGTTCAATTTTGTTTAGGTTCGGTTTTTTAGCTTTTTGGATTTTAGAGACTTCTTTAGAAATTTTTATCTACTACTTATAAAACTAATCTAAGTATAGTTTTGATTTTTGTTTAAGTTTGATTCTTAATCAAATACTTTAATTCTGAAAATAGTTCAAGTTGCTGTTCTTTTTCTAGTTTAGTTTTTAATTGGACTTTCTCTATTTTTGGATTTCCTATGTGGCTTTGGTTATCCAACTCAGAAATAACGTAGCCACTTGGCTTAATTTACAAAAGCCCTTAAATGTTTACACTGCTCGCTTTGTAGCCTCGTAGTTCTTTTCTCTCAAGATTTAGCCTCCTGTAAAATACATTTCAAAATTGAGCATGAACTTTACAAAAAATATAGACTCTTTTGATTTTAAAAGATATTGTTAGTTTTTAAGTTGAAAACATATTACCGGAAAACAAATACTCGAGACATAATTTAATAGAGATGGGTAAGGTAGGTGAACCGAACCGATACTCACGTGTTGATCTTAAAATAGCCAAGCCAATGAAAGTTGTAAGTAGAAAGCTGGTATAAGTTGTTCACCACCTAAGTTCTGTTCATCTTTATTAAACTCTTAACTTCTCTAAAGTCTTCTCAAAGAGTAACACTTTATGCTACTTGTTTGAATGTTAATGTGGTACACTCGTCACCATTCATAACAAGCTGGTTTAGGTTTCGATTATTTCAAAATATTTTGGCGATGTGTAAACTATAAACGTTGAAGTTCAAACACAAACATCAAATGCAAACTAAAGAATAACATTCTATTTGACTTTTACATTTACAAATAACAACAAAATTTTGGTTAAAACTTGTAGGGAAAAATTGAGAGTTTGTTTGGAAAATTGTATGCTAGTCGTAAATGTCAATTTAAAAGTAAAGAATGGATGGCTTGTTGCGATTGTTATGCATTAGTCGCTAAAAAATAACCACCTAGCGATTATTTGTAACGCCTTGATCAACACTGCTTATGGATCACACACTCATACCCATTCCATGGTTTTCAAAAAAAAAAATTTTATCTGCCGATATGATATCCCATAAAGCTCAAATGACATTGATTTAACGTAAGAGCAAGAATGGGAAATATCTTTATAAGTTCAAAAGAAGAGCGAGTTTATTGGTCGACAGTACTGAGGATCAAACTGTTGCTTGGAATACATAAATAGATCGTTTAATTAGCGAACTACAAAGAGATATTTGAGTTTGTAGATTAAGCGAGTTACGAAGAAAATGAGTAAATCGAATGTGTTAAAGTAGTGAACTTAGAGCATTTATTTCAGATTATCGGTCCCGTATTAAATGAAGTAACATGTGTAATTATAATAAAATCGATTAAATAATTTTGGGCAGATTAAATTGTACGGTCGGTCTGATAGATCAGACCGATCGCCTTTCTTGATGTTGTGGGGGAGATCTATCCTTCTTGCATGTGGCTAGTACGGTCAAGCTCTTCACGTTTATCAGGTCTTTGAAGATCACTAGACTTTATTAGGATTGTCGGGCTTTACTAGACTTAATTGGCCGATTTTGACATGAGCTGAATCCTAAAGAGGACTGTGCACAGTTCACCTCCAACAGACATGTCAAATGGCCATAATAATTAATATTATCATTTTTGGAATATCCTTATAATATGATACTGGAAATCACATTAATGTAATCTTGAACAATGTTTTTCATATATTACGTACTATACCCAAATACTAGAAAACAAAAGTTCGAAGTAAATCAACTAAATACTTGTTATCGTGTTTTGCAATGACATGATCACACTACTTTCATCAATTGATCGACGACATTTAGTTCTAAAACCATCGTTTGAACATTACTTTTCATGATTTGATGTTGTAATTTTTAGAAATTTTAGTGATGTATGTGAAAAAAAAAAAATTAAAAGTTTTATTTGACTCCTAACATCGCCTAAAATATAATCGGTTTTTCAAATTTTCTATTTTACAAAACTCCACAGTTAAACGTAGTTAAACGTATTTGTGTTGAGAGTAAAAAAACAACTTTTTAAATGATTTGCAAAATCAGTTGACTAGTCTTTCTAATTTTCCAAAAAAAAACATATCAATCATCAGAAGAAAACGAAACCTACATACCCTCAAAGAGTTGTTAAGTTTAGCGTTTTTTGGTTTCAAATTTGTAAAGATATGTTATTAACGAAATAAAAAACATAAATATAAAAGTAGCATTTAACATGTGAAATCAAATGTAAAATTCGTGTTTAAACACTGTCGAACTCAAATGACAGAAAAAAAAAGGGTTAAAATTTAGACTAAAATTGACAGAGAACCTTGGGCATATATAGGAGACCAGGAAATATTTTAGTCTTCGAGATCATTTACAGATATAGACGTTCTAGAGACTAATACAACACTACGTTGACTTTATTGGCAGATTCAACATCCGTTTGTATCAGTCAATTCAACATTACATCGACTCTCAATTTGTATAAAATAAACAGCTGGAAACAAAAAGAGACGTGTGACCCTTTCTATGTACGTAGATACAATACAACTACGTACAACTGTTGAAGAATCTGAGATTCGATTTGGCTCGAATCCAAATAGAATAATCAGACTATATATAGCGTAATACGATATTACCAATACAGTCTATAGCTAGTTCGAACTTTCATATAAATTTCCGATTGTAAGAACTAGATTTCAGTGTTTGAAACTATATAGTATAGTCTCCAATACTCTGTGTATAATTAAAATTTAAAACTTGTAAATTTGTATAAATCTTTTTAATTTTTTGCTTTTCTAAATGATTATCTTTTGCGGAAGGGTGCCCAGTGCACCAAAGCTGGCTTCACATGCATAGCGTTCGACTCCATCCACACCTTATGTGGGCCTGTTTAAAAATGTCAATCTGCGATGTTCCTTTTTGTTTTGTTTATAACACTCACATATGAAAACTCTTAGCATTTGATTATATACCACGTGAAGATGGTGAAATCGAAATATCTAAAAACCAATTCTAGATACTGGGGGAGGCCATAGGCCGAAGGAGCAGAACTCTCACGCTTCATCAAACAAGCAAAGACAGTGATATTTCACCTAAAATGATGGAATCAGCTCAAACACGATTAAGCAAAACTAAAATGGAACAAAAGAAGCACATTGACAAAACGCTAATACAGATCAGCTGATTAAAAACCATGATCATTTATGTATCAAAACGCAATTACACAGTCAACAATAGTTATCTCATCCGAAAAATCACGTATATCGAATATTAATTTAATCTCAAATACACACCCTATGTAACCAACTTTTGCTTAATGTGAAATGCAAGATATATTTTCAATAATTTATAAGTAATGACATAGCTTTTACCCATAATTCTGTTAATATCATGATGATAATTTGCAGATTGAAGTCATTAGTTACACTAACAGGGACGAATTCATAAAAGAAGAAATGAAGAAGAAATTTTCGTATTGAATTGAAAGAATAAAAGTCAAATTTTACATTTAAACTAATAATAAAAAAATACAGAGTTGATCGCAAGGAAAAAAAAAAAAAAAAAACTAAAGGTGTTAGAATCTGCAACCGCAGCAAAGAAAGAAGAAAGCAAGCTTAGAGACCAAAACCATTGCTTCGATGATAGACATGAATCTGAATTTCAAAGTTTCGAAAAAAGACATCTTCAGATTCAATCTCTTCCACTTTAGCCCTCCAAGTCCCAGAAATTTCAATCTCGTCCTTTCCTTCCTCGTCTTAAACAACGAAAAACTCCCTTTTCCTATCATCTCCTAATTTTGTTTTGAGATCCTTTGGGAACCGAATTGTGCAGAGGAAATAATTAGGGTTTATGTTTTGTTTCTGGTTTGTTGTTATAAAGTCTTCGCAGACGAACAGAGTTTTATACAAACAGAATTCGTGGGTATTTTGGTAATTACGAGTCGTAAATTAGAAGCGCGTTTCAATATTCCAAATTCCACTGATCAACGTAGGTGTCCTGACGTGAGAGCACTCTGTTTCTTTTCCAAAGAATTTTCGTAGATGTGTCGTTATCTATCTTTTTCTATATATAGTTTTATAAATACATAGTTTAAAACGTCAAGTGATTATCCTCTTTCTTAGGGATGTACAAGTTTTTTTATATTATTTTGTCAGTAGCTAATTCACAAACTTCATCCCAAGCGACTGACCAAAGATTATAAGCCTCACGGCCATCACCTAAGTTCTCTATTTCGCTGAAGCATTTTTGAGGTAATTTGAAATAAACCAAGCACCAATGATTTGCAAAGCTTGCAACAACCCAATTGATTAGTTGCAAAAGTTCAATAAAAATAGGGTTTTGTGAGTACAATGAATGAATCTGCTTCTGATTTTATCTACCAAAAGAGCATAGTCATGTGTAAGTGTAACCATTTTGTTTTGGGTCAACATGAACTACCTCTTTTTATAAGAAAATATAGTCCAAAATGTGTTTAACCATTTTTTATATATATATATTTAGTATACTAGACAAGACTAACGACGAGGCAAAAGCACTACACACAAACAAAACATTCAAAAAAAGATTTGTAATGATACTAGGGTCTCTAAATGATACTAGGGTCTCTAAAACATTCAAAAAAATGATACTAGACACAAACAAAAAAAGATTAGTCTCCTACACATTACAATAATGATACTAGGGTCTCTAAATGATACCATGTAAAATAAAATATTAAATCTAGGATACCTTTAGAATTCTACATATATAATGATTTGTATATTACATATATCAGAAACTATATAAAATGTATAGATATGAAATTGTCTCGATTCTAATCTCGTCCACATAACACAGGAAAACTGTTGAAAGGTGTCACATAACAAAATTACAAATTTAACTCAACCGTACGTTCATGGAACATTATGGCAAATATCAATGCAAACAATCACATATTTTGAAAATTATTAAAGGAAAATTTTAATTTCATTATGAAAATTCAAAATTAAAAAAGACAACAAGATTTGACCCAAAAAAAAGACAACAAGATAAATGATATGACTACTGTATGTCCTCCTTCATTTTCTTATTTGTATGTCCTCCTTCATTTTCTTATTTCTTGAGAGCTTCAATAGGCCAATGAAGCCTCCATTTCCATACGTTTTTGGTTCACGGTTTTTCGAAGAGTTTCGAGCTTTTCTTTGAAGGCAATTAACTCTTCTAATGATGAATTTTCAATCTCTTTCATATTGTTCTTCTGAAGTGTCTCCTCAAACCTCTTCTTCAAAACCTATAATTTATGTAAAAAAATATAATGTTTTGTGGACAAAAACAAAAAAAAATAGATAAAAGATGTAAAGATCAATAGGTTCCACCCCTCCAACTATAGTTTTTCCATGACTTGACAATAGATAAGCGATAAATGCGGGTTAGTTTTGGTCGAAGATTTCAATATCAAGATATATTGCTAAACTGTATTAAACAAGTTGGTTTTTTTTTAAAGGTTGTAAATGTTGTTTTCGTTTGTGAAAATTCATCATATTTTAACAAAGTAAATAAATGATATAACAAATATTAAAAATGTGACAATTTACCTTCTCACGTTGTTTCTCTGCTTCCAATTTTTTCATAACACCAACAAGCTTGGCCTGAAGTTTGAGAATCCTAGCTTTCTTCAACGAGGCCGAAGATCGCCCTGATTTTCTTGAATAAGAGTTGAAGCCAGGACTTCTGAACAGGTATTGTCTTCCAGCAGGAGAGTTGATGAAGACAGCCACTTCGACATCGTGTAGCCTTGCAAGTGCATTGGCCTTATTGAATATACCTGCTCGACATTTGGAGATAATCATTCGTCTTGTGAGGCTCTTTTCAATGTAGTTTATCTTAATCTTTCTAAACCCCATTTCTTATGATTAGATCTCTCTTTTTGTTTTGTTATTGTTGTTGTTACTACTCTACTACATTATATAGATGGACAGGGTCAAGTAGGTTAAATGCAATAATGTATGTTTTAACTATTGTTCTTACAAAATATTTGAAATTTACCATTTTTACGTATTTTTAATTATCACGAATGAATTTGCCATTTTTCCCATAAATTATTGTCAAGATATGTTATTTAAACAATATTTATGAAAAAATTTAGTCAACATAATTGTTTTGTTTTAGACAGCTAATACTTTGGGAGCAAAAAACACCAAACTTTTAGAAAATATTAATTATTTACAGTTTGAATAATATACGTGTTGTATGTTTATTGGTTTTTTTGATATGTTTAAATTTTTCCTATGTAGATAGATTTTTGCTCTTTAAATAAAAATTAATGCGTGTCGAACATACAAATAAATCAAAATATATCAATATTTTATTTTAATTAACATAATTGTTTTATTTTAGATAGCTAATACTTTAAAACCAAAAATCATCAAAACTTTACAAAGTATTACCAGTAATTTTTTTTAAACTTATCTTCAAATTAATTATTGTTTGAATAATATTCTTGTTGTATTATTATTGGTTTTTTTGATATATTTAGATTTTTCCTATGTAGATATACAGATTTCTTATCTTTAAATGAAAATTTCCACGCGTCAACGAACAAATTATGTGTTCTTCTCCATATTTCTGTGTTTTATCGGCATCTATGTCTGAGTAGTTCTCCAGTTAGGTTTTTAGGGTTTCAAGGGATTCACATGAATCATTAAATTGGATTTCTTAGATTAGGGAATCACATAGAGTTCTTCATCTATTGTTGAGTTTAAGGTTTAGACTAGATTGATCACCTAGTTTATGATCTTAGGATTAATCTAAACATGAAAGTGATATAGATTTCCTGACAGAACTTAGATGAGCAAATCATCCTTAGCCAACGAAAGCTGATGCTAAGGTGGTTTGTGAACTTATCAAACCAGAACTTTAATGCATGTCTAGAACTTTAAGGTCAAACGACAGTTTAGACACTTAGGTTATTAGACATAGTAGTTAGTTCCACGACAGTGGGTTAGCTAGACGTTTATGTTTGAGTTCGAGAACGGTCCTTAATTCATTCCCTATTCGATAATCTGTTTATTGAGTATTGATTTCCTGCGAATTACCCGAAGACCTAGCGTTTTTCTCATTTGAATCTACATCTCATTACTTTGTTTTTCTTAGTTTCTAGAAGTCTTAAACCACAAAACAACCTGTCATTAGGCTTCGCTTTACTTTCTTTCTGCATTCTCGTAGTGTATACTTGGTTCTTGTGGATTTCGATACCTAAAATACTATTTTGATTGCTGTGCTCTTGCAGTAGATTTTAGGATTATTCTGAAGTGTTTCAATAATTGGCGCCATTGCCGGGGACCAAATGAGTGCCTACGAGTCTTGGACGAAAGTTCAGACTAATTTTTTCTTTTTCTTTTGCTAATTTGTTTTATTTTTGTTTTTTAGTGTTTCAGGTTTCTGACCAGAAGCCACGATTCTGAAAATCTGTTGGATTTGAACAACGAGGAGCTAGCACAACTAGAACGTGAGAGCAGACGAAGAAGGAGAAACATGGCTCAAAATCAAGATGATCTTAATCTCCAGGGCCTGTTCGATGATGATGGGAACCCCATAAACCCTCCTCCTCCTGCTCGTGATGATCTCATTGATCCAAATGCTGCTGATGATCCTGCAGCACGAGCTGCAGCTGAAGCTCAGAGGCAAACTGAGGCTCAGAGATAAGCTGAAGCTCAGAAGCAAGCCACAGCTGCTGCAGCTGGACATGTGCAACTTGGGGACAATGTTAACAGGAAGGAAAAATTCTGGAGGAACCAGAGGCAACCTCCGCGCATACCTATTGGGGCAATTGATTCTCGTTCTACCAGGATAAGTCACCAATTCATCCACCACCTATTCAGAGACAGAACTTTGAGATCAAACCTCAAATCATCGCTTTTGTGGAAAGGCAAAAGTTCTATGGGAAGGCTTCAGAAAATCCCATGGATCACATTGAGAGATTTGAAGAGATACTACGAGTTCAAATAGAGTCCCTGCAGACTATCTGAAGTGCAAACTCTTCTCTTTCTCTTTGACCGATCGAGCAGCTAGATGGCTGAAATCAGTTGAACCTGGTTCTTTGACTTCTTGGAAAGCAATCAGGTCATCTTTCTTGGATCAGTTCTACACCAAGGCTAAGACAGCATCACTCAGAATTAAGATCACTCAAATTTCAACAGAATGGTGGTGAGTCTTTCAATGAAGTTTGGGAGAGATTCAAAGAGTATCTCATAGAATGTCCTCATCAAGGTTACTCAGATGAGCAGGTGCTGAACATCTTCTATGATGGAGTAGACTGGGAGGCAAAGAATAGTCTGAATGCTGCTAGAAATGGTAACTTCATGACAAAGACTAAGGAGGAGGCATTGAGCTTATTGAGAATCTCTCTGTTAGTTCCAGCCAGCGCAATCCTGAGTATGACAGATCGAGACGCATCAAGAGCATTGAGTCTAGGAAGATAGACGAGCTGACTTACCAAGTCAGCAGCATAGCCTTGTTACTGAAGGAAAATCAAAAAGCTGTCACCTTTTGTGACAATGCTGGCGATGAGAGGTTGAATCAGGAATTTGCTGAAGATGAATCAGAAAGACATCATGCTGAGGTGAACTACGTGCAGAACCAAGAATATTTCAATAGAGGATTCAACCAGAATTACAGAAATCATCCCATCCTGTCCTACCGAAATCCCATTGTTGAAAATCCTCAAGATCAAGTCTACCCACAATAAGCAGGTGCGCAAAATCAGGGTCTGCAGTTTCAGCAGACACCATTCGTGCAAAACCAAGGTGTCATCATTTTCTCTAAGGGATTTTAAAGCCAGACAAACATGCAGAATCAGGGACAGCACAACTTTCAGAATCAGAACGGCTCTAATCTAGCTACACAAGAGTCTAAACTTGAAGTGATGATGCAGCAAGTCATGATTAATTATCAGACGACTACAAAGGAGATCCATAAGGTAGATGGGATGTATCGTGATCTCAGCAATAAAATTGAGAATATCGATAACAAATATGAGTTCCTTTCCACTCAGGTGAAGAAGCTTGACACACAGGTAGCACAGATTGCATATGCTATTAGAAGACAACCTGGAAATCTTCCTGGAAAGCCAGAGATAAATCCAAGAGGGCATTGCAACGCTGTAATGGTTTACGATAAGATGATGACAACACCTGAGTTGATAGATGAGGAAGGGGCACATGATGTTGTGGTAAAAAAAGAGTGCACTCCTGTCAGGCCACGAGTATATGTCCCTAAGGTCCCATATCCTAAAACCCCCAAACATCTTCCATTACTGCAGAGAAGCTGAGTGATTTTGAGAAGATGGTTGATGAGTGGAGATTTTGACTCATTCTAACATGTGTTTACTGATCTTTTTAGAGTCTTTTGAGTCTTTGTCAAGTCGTTTCAGGTAACTAGGAGGCTTAAGGCGACGGTTTGGAGCAGCTGGGGCTTTTGGTGCAAAAAAGAGCTGAAGCTGAGCAAAAGAGGCTAATTTACACGAAGTTGGATCATTCTTGGTCGGGACCCGATTTCACCCTTTCGTGGAGCACCTGCTCCAACCGCCTGGAGAGAAATAAGGAAATCGACTTTTATCTAATTTTAGGAGGAGAAAGAGAATAAAAAGTACACAGCCGCCTGTGTTTTATTATCACGTTTTCCTACAGACTTTTTACGCTTTCTTTTTACAATTTCCTGAACCATAGAGTTTTTACTTGTAAGCTTTTGGGAGAAGAAATCTGCTACACTTTGAAAAGAATTCTGAACCCTATTATCTCTTCTGCAATTTTAATCCATGAATTTCTTTTCATCTGTTGCTGTGTTTCTTTTCTCCATGTCTGAGTAGATCTCTTAGCTAGATTAAAGCGTTCAAAGGATTTCATGAGTTAAAGGATTAGATGCAAATAGGGTTTGATATCTTTCGCCTTCACCATTGTCAGACTTAATGCTTAGGTTGAATTGATCACTCAATCTGCAATTTTAGGTTATTCTATTCATCAAAAGTGTAATAGGTTGCTAGAATAAATATTGGTGAGCGATTTGTCCTTAGCCAACGACAGTTGAAGTTAAGGCAAATCGTGAACAGATCAAACCTGCTAGCTAATGCTTGTATGAAATTTTCTAGGTTCAAACGACAGTTTAGGATTTAGGTTGTTAGACAAAGTTATCGAGATCACGACAGTGGATCGATAAGCTTTTCTGTTTGAGTTCGAGACTTGCATTACACTTGTGCCCTGAATAGTCATCTGGTTCTTATCTCTGAAATTCTTGTGAATTGCTTTGGTCTAGTGCTTGTTTTAATTTGAATTTAAATCGTTGTTTGCCATTCTGTTTACTTTTTAGTTTTCGCAACAAACCATCTTTCATCTTAGCTTTAATTCAATCCTCGCAAAGTCATAGAGTAACACTGGTCCTCTGGATTCTGAATCCTTGATATTACAACTACATCACTGTTCTATTGCAGTAGAAACTAGGAGTACTTCCAGTGTGAATCAAATTTTGGCGCCGTTGTGACGGGGACCAATTCGTTACCTTTGATTTTTGGTTTGAAATTCAGACTAAGACTTTACTAATTTTTTTCTCTTGTTCTCTTGTTTGCGTGTGTTTCAGGTGTATGTCAAACATATCCACAAGGAGCAACTGCACCGATCTTGTTTCTTTGTCGAACACCGAGCTAGCAAGAGTCGAGCGAGAAAACAGACGTCAAAGGCCTATTCAAGCCAACGGGGGCGATCAAGGCAACAATGACAACATGGCTGTCGAGCTGCAACAGCTTCGACAGCAATTGGAGCAGCTGCAAAAGGCGCAGCAAGACAGGGAGCAGCCACAACCTGCTATTGGAGACAAGGACAGTCCGCATGCTTACTATCACAATAGGGCTGCGATTGCTCCTCCAACCATTCAGAGGCAAAACTTTGAGATCAAACCTCAGCTGATCTCATTGGTGAAGCAGCACCTTTTTCATGGGCTTCCTGCTGAGATTCCGATGGATCACATCGAGAATTTTGAGGAGATTTGCAGCACGACTGGATCAAATGGGATACCAGCCGATTTTTTGAAGTGCAAGCTTTTTACATTCTCACTTGCATACAAAGCTTTGCGCTGGCTGAAGTCATTACCACCTGGGTCATTGACTACATGGAAAGAGTTCAGATCAGCATTTTTGGACCATTTCTACGCTAAGGCCAAAACTGCAGCTCTGAAGAACAAGATCTCGTCATTTAAACAGCAACCTGGTGAAGCTTTTTGCGAAGCTTGGGAAAGGTACAAGGAGTACCGAAGAGAGTGCCCTCACCATGGGTTCTCTGATGAGCAGATTCTGTCAACCTTTTATGATGGTGTCAACTGGGATTACAGGAATGCTTTGAATGCAGCTAGCAATGGCGATTTCATGACTAAGTCCAAAGAGGCTGCTTATTTGATTGAGAACTTAGCTGCAAGCTCCAGCAACAAATCCCAAGACTATGACAAGTCTAGCAAAACAGTTCATAGTGTGGATTTGAGCAAGATCGATGAGCTTACAGCAAAGGTGAATCTGCTGTTGAGAGAGTACCAGAGATCTGTGCATTTTGCTGATGAGGTTGGTGATGCACCTCTTGCTCGAGAGTTTGTAGATGCAGAGAATGATGATCAAATGGAGGTGAACTTCGTAAATGGACAAGGGTATGTGCAGAATCGCAGCTTCAACAACTTCAGAAACCACCCGAATTTATCTTACAGAAGCAACAATGTTGAGAACCCTCAGGATCAGGTCTATCCGCAGCAAGGAGTGCAGAATCAGTCAGTATTTCAGAAGAACTTCTCCAGCAACTTCCAAGGAAAGCAGTTCATCACCAATCAGAATCGGTTTCAAGGTGGAAATCAGCAGAAGTTGCCTTTCACAAGTCTCCAGCCTTCTTCGAGTTCCTCAAATAACTCGCAGGATGAGCTGAAAAACTTGATGCAACAGCTGCTGGTTAATCAGCAAAAGTCTTCCATGGAGATGAATGTCAAAATGGACACCATGTACAATGACTTGAATGGCAAGTATGAAGCAGTGTGGACTCATGTGAAGAAGCTGGATGTTCTGGTAGCTCAGACTGTAGAAGCTGTGAAGAGATCACCTGGAACTCTCCCTGGAAAAGGTGAAAACCCCAGGAATGAGTTTGTGAATGCTATTGAGCTGAGAAGTGGGAAGACTCTACATGCTGCACCAACAAGCTCTGTCTCAGAAAAGAGGAAGGAAAAGGACGTGGAGCACCTGCTCCAAGAAGAGGAACCAGCTCATGACGTAAAAAAGATGAAGGAGCACTCTTCCCCCATCGGAGCACCTGCTCCAAAATCGGGAGCACCTGCTCCAGATGTAGATTTGACGATGGAGCACCCTGAGTCAACGAGGGAGCACCTGCTCCAGCCACCTGCTCCAGCAAACATTCCTGCAAGAGTTTACACGCCTAAGGTACCTTACCCAGTTCCTACAAAGAAGTCTCGCAAGGACTTAGAGGAGGCAAAGTGCAGGAAGATGCTGAAGGATTTGACTGTAAAACTCCCTCTAGCTGATGATGTTCAGATGATACCAGCCCTTAAAAGATACATGAAGGGGTTAGTGTCTGGGAAAGCTGTTGAGGAAGAGAATGTCATGATGGTTTCGAAGGAGTGCAGTGTTGTGCTTCAGAAAAAAGTGTTGAAGAAGAGAAGTGATCCAGGAAGGTTTGTTCTCTCAGTCAGGATTGGGAATGTGCTGTTTGCAAGGTCTCTATGCGATCTGGGTTCAAGTGTGAATCTGATGCCTTATTCTGTAGCCAAGCGATTGGGTTACACCAGATTCAAACCGACGAAAATCTCACTGGTGTTCGCTGATAGATCAACCAAATTCCAAAGACTAAGGAGGAGGCATTGAGCTTATTGAGAATCTCTCTGTTAGTTCCAGCCAGCGCAATCCTGAGTATGACAGATCGAGACGCATCAATAGCATTGAGTCTAGGAAGATAGACGAGCTGACTAACCAAGTCAGCAGCATAGCCTTGTTACTGAAGGAAAATCAAAAAGCTGTCAACTTTTGTGACAATGCTGGCGATGAGAGGTTGAATCAGAAATTTGCTGAAGATGATTCAGAAAGACATCATGCTGAGGTGAACTACGTGCAGAACCAAGGATATTTCAATAGAGGATTCAACCAGAATTACAGAAATCATCCTATTCTGTCCTACCGAAATCCCATTGTTGAAAATCCTCAAGATCAAGTCTACCCACAATAAGCAGGTGCGCAAAATC